CAATATGGGTGACGAGCCCAGTCCCCCTCGGGTGGTTGCTGGAGAAAAGAGGGACTGGGACGGATCATCGGGTAACAGACCTCCTCCTAATTGTAGATTTGGAAAGTCTTTTAGAAGGCCCGTAGAGTCCTCTAAGTCACCCATGGGCTCGGTTTGCACCCTGCGACTCTTTCTTCCCAACAATGCTCCGTCAGTTGTCAAATTGAATATCCTTGCGCTTTTCCCCTCTTTTATATCCTCCCATAATATTAGATCTAACTCCTCCCCTTCCCCATCCACTAGACACACCTCTGAGGCTGTTGTGGGTTTAACCTTTTCCTGTTCTATCTCTATGAGTATTCCCTCCGTACATCCACTCTCTTCCACCGGGTGTTGCGAGGTAGAGGACGGCACACTGCTCTTCTGTCCTTCACAGAATGTCAGATTTGTCCTGGTGCCGATTCAAATCCTTAGAAATCTACAACTAGTAAGTGTCTCTTAGCCTAGTCCAATCCATACGGCTAATCTGAGGAGAAAATTGTGTCAGAGACAGAGAACCATGGATCATGCATGTTGTTCCTTGTATAGTCACACTTATTGTTTGGGTATCTTCCACATTAATAAGTCATGTTAAACTAGCCCTGTTTTTTTATAAAGGTTATTAGATGAGAGTTCTGTGGACATATAATAGTATATCCATATGATATGTATATGGAAAGTAGTTTGAGTAGACCCTGCCCTGCAGATCTGTAAGTGCAGGCAAGTTGATATGGAGAGACACACTCCTTCAAAAATAAAGGATTTGTAGCCTAGGATTGGTTGAGATAGTTAGGATCATGTATCTAATTTAAATGAATTGAGTGTCCAGGACCAGCTGAATTACATTCCAGGCTGCTGAACGAACTTGGGAACAGTTTTGGGAGAAATGCTCTCAGATTAGCTCTATTAATGCCCAAACAAAAACACACCCAGGAGTCCTACAAAATTTCATAGGCCTCCCAGGGGAGAAACAGAAGCCTGTGTTCAAAACAGCTAGCATTTAACCTAATAAAGGGTCAATCCCAGAATGAAACCTAACAATCACAAACAATCATATCAAAATCCATCTGCCACAAGATAAGACTTTTCATTGTTGCAATAATTCCAGGCAACATCAGCTTGTCTAAGACTACAACCTTTATTTATCTATATTGCTTTGATGTTCCATATGTACAAAATTCTTCAAAAAGTAACATCAAGATATATTGAAGACAGAAAACCTGTAGGCATAAATACTTAAAATTAAATCCTTGTGACTTGTAAAATGTGATTGTCATTCAAACAATCTTATGATATGAGAAGTTGCAGGCATGCAAGTACAAAACTTAAGTTGTAGAAAGAATGAAAATCATGTTTGAATCCAAAAATTAATGAGCTTGATAGCCTAAAAAGACAGCAGAAAATATTTCTTCAAAATACATAATTGAGAAATAAAAAGGCATTATAACTTTAAGTAATCTTTAGCCTTAAAGAATATTTTTAAAAAACTAAAGATGTTAAAAATAAAAATATATTAAAGAACACAACTTTCTTAGCCTCTAAGCATGGACACAAAGACAAAAATAACTCTAAAAGCCCACCCCTCTGCCAGTTAAAATCTATAGAGGAAAATCCATGATGTTTGTGAGTTTCAGCATCTGGAAATGAAGTCTGCTGCTGCCCTGCTTCATTAATGGTTTTATAAAAAATATATCTGACGCCCAAAGCAGCCTAGAGTTCTGATGATGTGATGAATGCTCTGGTGAACATGTTTGTCCAATCTCCACATATTTGTAACTCTTAACAATTGTTTTCCTTTCCTTCTAAATATAAACATTCCTTACCTGCTCATCCAGGTTTTATGACAACAGGATATTATGGTAGGTGCTGTGCCTGACCTGGCCACCATAACAGATGCCTTAGTTACATCTCAGTTAGATTATTGTAATGTGCCTTACATAGGTCTGCCTATGGAAACTGTCACGAAGCTTCAGCGGGTCCAACACACAGCAGCCAGACTGCTGACTGGGGCTAATTATAGGGATCGTATAACTCCCCCATTACAGGAGCTCCATTGGCTGCCAATCTGTTTTGGGACACCATTCAAAGTGCTGGTTCTCACCTATAAAGCCCTAAATGGCTTTGGTCCAATCGATGTCTCAAAGACCATATCTCCCATTATGAGCGTGCTTGGGTGTTAAGATAATGAACAGAGGCCTTTCTGTTGGTCCCAACTTCACAGGTGCATTTGTTGGGGGACACACAAGAGGGTCTTTTCTGTTGCTGCTCCCAGATTCTGGAACTCTCTCCCACAGGAGGTTAGGCTGGCTCCATCTTTGTTGTCCTTCCATAAGCAGGCAAAGACCATTCTCTTCAGGCAAGCTTTCCCTCAGTGACTGACTGCCTAAGTGATATTTTTAAATGGATTGTTATGCATTACTGCTTTGAATGTGTTTTTAGTATTGCTTTTGTTTACCACTTCTCAGAACTGTATTTGTTTGTTCCTTTTTAGTATCTGCATACTTAACTGTTTTTAGCTTTAAATATCGTGCTTTAATGATGTAAACACCTTTGTATACTCATTGTTTTTAGCTTTAAGTATTGTCTTTTGATTATGTAATTTATTTATTTATTTATTTGATTTATATACCGTAGTCACCTTGTTTCCTTTTTAAGGAGAACGGGAGGGTATTTTAAATAAATAAATAAATAAATAAATAAATAAATAAATACCGTAATGTATAAATAAATAAATAAATAAATACTGTAATGTAAAATCTCAGGCTTTGCTCCTACTCAAATTCTTGTGTTAATATATAAAATATTTTACAAGCACCTGTTTTTACTACTCTTACTACTCTAGGAGATTTCTACCCAAAATTTCTGCTCATTTAGTAATAGTGTGAAAACCTAAAACCTAAGTACCTACTGTATATTTAATGGATTTACATTCAAAAAATAGAACTATAAGGTTGTGCAGTACTCCTCCTTCATACATTCACCTGTTATTCATGATAATCTTATTTTTAAGTTTAGAAATTATAACCAAAAAAGTAATTCAGTTGTCAAGTTTATTTATAATTCATTGACCTTGCTCTTCAAGAGTTGGCTAATTGTTTTGAAAAATGGCATATTCTTTTGAAAACAATGTAGTTCAAGCCACATTTTTAAATGTAGCTTTAATGCACCCCTTTTATTTTTCCCTGCACCCCCTTTATTTTTCTAACTCTCTTAAACACACAAGGTTCTGAACCTTGATAGTGCTGTTTGCCTGGAGATTGGGTGAGGTTTTGGAAGACAGGGGACAAAAGTATGCCCATACCAGATGGGGTGTGAGAGATACAGAAAACTGTCAATCAGCCTGATGTCAGTCCTGAACAAAACTGAAAAGTAGATAAACATTTAGAAAATAATGAATTGATTACAACTTGGATTCCTGAAATGTGAGTTGTGCTAGAACAGCACCCCCCTCTCTCTTGTTTTTTTTTTTAAAGGAAACTAGATACAAGTTTGGTAGATATCTTAATTTCAAATAAGTCTTTGGTGAAGTCTCCCATTATACTGTTTTTAACAAGATCTAAAAATATGAGCTGAATGGTACTAATGTTGGATGGATGTCATCTTGAGATTGCTTGTGAATACCTTTGTGTCAACCTGGCGGAAGATGTTAATGAAGTGACACAGTGCTCAGTCCTGTGCTTTCCATCATCTTTACATATTACCTGGATGAGCTTTATGGAGAATGCCTATCCAATTTTTTGAAAACATCAAGATGGAAGAGACAGCCAGCTACCAAGAAGACAGAATAAGAATTCAATGTGATATTGGTACATAGCCCCAAAACCCACATGATGAAATTCAATAGATAAATGTAAAGTCTTGTGTGTAGATACAAGACAAAGGGATGTATATAAGATGAGGGAGACTTAACATGGCAGCACTATGTATAAAAAACAATCTACAGTAGCTGTTTTAGTTGATTATGATTTGAGTGTTAACCAGCAATGTTATACTCTATAGTTCTAAAAAGACTAGTTCAGTGGTGACTAAATAGTAATAACTGCCTAACGTGAATTAATTAGATTGAAAATATAAAGTCACCAAATATGTGAATACAGTACAAAAGACAAATTCCATGTGATGCTGGGGTTGTACATAATATTGGCTTGTGGTGATTACATTTTATTGCTAATAATTTTGGAACACTTGATCACACTGGTGTGATTTTATTAATAACCTCTTAGATGGAGAGAATAGATGTGATAATGTGAAGTATTTGATGATGGCTCGGTTTTGGACGGGGAATTAAGACCCGGATGTGATAATGTGAAGTATTTGATGATGGTTTTGGACGGGGAATTAAGACCCATTAGTTTTACAAAATATCTGCTCCCAATGAACGTGAAAACTGCTAAAACTGGTTTGTTGAAAGGCATCAATGCAGCTGTTAGCATCCGAAGGAGGTAATTCTTAAGGATTTTCATGATGAAGATACCCCTCCACTGCTAAGGAGACACTTAAATGATGTTGCTTATTTACGGAAAATGCACTCTGAACCTACAAGGTTCATGTTAAGCTTTTCATGCGCAACCTTTGACACAGTCGTACAGCAAGCACCGTGGCTAAACTCGGAGAGGCGCCGTATAAACTTGCATGACAACCCCAAACGGCTCCCTAGGCAACTCCCGCCACCTTTTTTCCCCCTCAACTTTATTAAGCCTCTCGCCCGACCCCACGGGCCCTCCGTGCCCCGTCGTCTGCTGTTACAGCTGCAACCTCAAAGGCGTGCCCCCGCTACTATCATGTTGCTGATTGGCGCGCACAGGGGCGCGCGCTGAATTCGTGCGCG